TATGAGGCCAGAAAAACTGAGAATTAGGACCAGCCGGCCGGTACTAGGCCAAGTGGAAACGCAACCACAAACGGGCCGCTGACGTCACAGCCCTCTTAAACCGGGCTGCGCGCTGTAGTGGAAACGCGCCATTAGCTACCCGCCTCTTACAAACATGTTATAACTTATAATTCTCTTTGTGCCTTAGGTACAGGAATGCTCTACCTGACTCTAAGCACTTTCCCAACTAGAATATGTATTGTATTTCTTACCGTGACTAAGAACACTGAGAACGCCGCTGACAACTCTAAAATGGTGTAGTATAATCAATCACAGATTTTTGGTAGTCAAAACAGGTGTCTGCTCACCTTTTGTATATTGCGCGCTTGGTTTAGTTGTCAGCGGTGTCGAGGTGTCCTCCCCTGGACTGAATTCCGTCCGCTGGCTGTCGGTGTTCCTTTCTAGAGACCAGCACTCATCACGTCGCAGGTCACCATAATTGTTGTAGCAAACACCGTGGTGGTGGCTTAAAGCCCACCTCCGCTACGCGCCGTTCGTTAGATGAGCCTGGTTAGATTTAATAAAAGAAGGAATTCAAAACACCGGAATAAAGTTTATAACAATAATCTGATTGTACTGGTAAAAAACAAAACACTTATACAAGTTTACAGAGTACTCTGGACTTCCAGTTCTACCGCCGTGCGATACAGGTATCGGGACCAGCCAGTCAGAAACAGGAAGCATTTTACATGCATAAACAACAGTATTCATATCCATATTTTGGGGCGGAGATGTGTTTACTCTTCCTTCCCATTTTACTCCGAAGCGAATCAGAGAGTCCGTGGGGAGGAGCTGTGTGAGCTGCTCACTCCCCCAGGTGTTTTTACTGGTTGGATTCACTTCTGGTCGGGTCCAATACAGCGAATCAGAGTTCTGGGAAAAAGCATGTTTTCTTCTCAGTAGAGCGTGAGATTCGGAAGTTTCACAAGGACAGAGTCAATCTTATCTCTGCACCGATATTCACTCCTTTACTTTCCCAAGGAATATTTCACACAAATTATTCTTTCCCAGGCAACCAAACATTGTACACAGATATATTGATGCCCAGAAAGGACCTTGAAAAGAATATGTGTGTGTGCTGGTGGGAGGAGGTGTATGTGTGTGTAACAGGATCTCTGGGTCAGTGAGTTGTAAGTGAGAAGACAATATATATATATATGGGATTACTTAAAACAGTTCAAACAATACATGTTCACTAAAATACAATTCAAAATAATACATGTTTACTTCAATACAGTTTAGAACTATATCTGTTTACTTTATAACACAACTTCCAAAGTTACAGTAAAATAAAAAGGACCCTGACTCGGACAATACACAATCCAACATGTTCAACAGAAGAGAATAAGTTATATTGTTTGTACACATGGTTCTTTACATATATATCTGTTTGTTTAAAGTGTCGAGGTGATGCAGACAGGCTGGACCAGAGAGTGAGAGGCAGAACTGGACTCCTCACAGCAGTGAACTTCAGCACTGGTACAAAGACTCTTTTTTCATACTGTACAAAGAATCAAGAAAGATATTGGTTTAAATAAATGAAGTATTCACTTTAATACACTGATATACATTCCATTAAACAATACTAAATACTAGATCACCTACACATCAGTGAAGTTGAGGGGGTTTTCAATGCAAAAGGTTACATTTAGATGTTAACAAGCAATATGACTGTCAGCTTTCTAATTTAATGTATTGAAGGCAAAGATATTTAACGCATAGTGAGAACTGCTATTTATCTCTCAATATTGTCTGTAAAAACGTGGTAAAAGTTATTCTTTCAGTGAGACAACAGAGCAAGCTTCTACAGTTGCACTATGTTTTAATAACAGTTCAATATTATTTTGATAATAAAATACATTTCAATGTTGATGAATGTCATACTGTTCATTCATAATCTGATTGTCTTTGTAGCTCACTGTTGAAATAAAATAAAACATTACAATTACAAAATAATTATATCTACAGCCCCTAAACACAAACACACCTCTTTCATAAACAACACACTTGTTCTGCAATAATATGTTTTATGTTTCCTGTAATTTTTGTTAGGAAAGGACATGCCTGAAAGACACGACTCAGCATCTCCTCTTTCTCTGAGGGTCAAGAAAAACATCCAATAGGAAAATTAAAAGCTGATGTTATGAGATTTTAAGAGCAGTACAGGACATTCACTAAGAAACTATTTTTATTGTGAAAACACAGTCAGCTGATCGAATGCACCTATTTCCACATCTACACTCCCATCAGCTGATTATTTCTATTTGCCTCACTTTATGAGCTTCACAACATGTACCTTGTACCGCAGAGTTTGCAACGTCACAAATAAATGGGGCCAATCTTCAGTCAGATGTGAATGTGTAATCTAACATTTTCAGTAAGAATAATGGACAAAAGGAGTGCAAATACAAATTCACTTTATTGAAATGTGAACCAAAAGTTAATCAAACATGTTTTAAATAAAAAGCACATATGGACAGAAGGTGTAAACCTATTAAATGTATAAGTAAACACATTTAGTCAAATAAAGTGACAGACAAGGCCTGTGCAGGTGGTATCAGCTATGCATGGGCTCCTCCATCAGGCCTGGTCCTCCTCACAGAGGAAAGACCCTCAGTCCTCTCCGGCCAAACCAACAGACAGGACGTCCATCACACGGAGGTTTCTCCCTGAAGTCTCTGCAGCTCTCTGGACACCACGCTGTCTCAATCCGTCCACACTCCACACTGAATATGAGAGGGGAAAAATGAAAATAATAAATGCTTTAGACAATAAGAAATATAAAGTGGACTGTTGAGTTGCTCAGTTTTTTTAGATTGTCAATACTATTACTGTATAACTAATATCTCAGGTTAAGAGGCACCTTCAAATAAAGATTGGTCTTTAAATACATTTTGTCTTTTGAATTGTTTGTCTAAAGTCAAGGATCTAGAACTGGTACTTATAGTTTTAATGATACAGTCTGGTTATAATGCGGTTTGGAGGAGGCCTCACAGGTAAGAGCACTAACTAGCTACCATCACATGTACCTTAGCTTGACTTAAATGTATTAAACGTATAATTAAGTGATGGCAAAATATAAATAACTAATGTCATGCAAACATATTAATATTTGCTTGATTCCAGTGTTGCATTTAGCACATTGCATACAAACGTTAAGGGATTTTAAGATTCTGAAGTATTATGCTAAAAACTCAATAACTTAGATTATTATTTATAGTTTTGCTGAATAGTTTCATGTCCGCTTACCTTAGAAACGTAAAATGCGACGGCAGTGTGCAGATGGGGAACATGTTAGCTTAGCTTGGTAGCTTCAGCTCGCTCTGGAACTTCCAGCCTGGTGGCAGCAGGTCCCGCCTCGGCTCCGCCTCTTTGCCCTTATTTGGAGCAGGCTGGAGCAGGCTGGAGCAGGCGGGAGTGGAACTCTGACGTCACTGTCGAGCCGTTAGTGGCCGACTCCGCCTACTAAGGGCTTCTCTGCAACTCTGCAGAATCCTATGGGTGACGTCACGGACCCTACGTCCATTTATATATACAGTCTATGGTTGTGCATCGTTTTATATAACTAGGTTTGTGTTAATCCACCGGAGATAATGATCATTCTCATCTACTGATACCTGGCATTGAGGCCATATGATGCTGTTCATGGTGCTGAATTAGGGTTGTGTGTGTGTGTGTGTGTGTGTGTGTGTGTGTGTGTGTGTGTGTGTGTGTGTGTGTGTGTGTGTGAACTGGCAACTACTTATCTATCGTGTATTTAGCAAGAAACGAAACTCAACTTTAAAAAAAAATTATTCCCCACAAAGTCTTCCAGCAACAAGATGATTCTTGATTCTGATTGGCCAGAAAACTTGAGAAGCCAAAGATGTTTTATTGAGAAGAGGATGACGTGACAGCAGATTTCTCGACCTCAGTTTGCAGGTATGTGTTTGGTGAGATGTAAGGAGTCTGAAGGGTTAATTCCGGTAATAAAACTTCGTCATGTGAGATAGCTTTACACGCCCTCTGTGTGCCTCTTCCTGTTTATTGAGCTCCGTACTGTTGGCGCCTTTTCCTCAGAGCTAGTCGACCGAAGTCAGGGTAAGACATCTCCTTTCTCTCTGAGTTATTTGTATTACTGTTATTATTATTCGCTTTATGAATACATATGGGGCATGTAAGGACACGCACAGTAGTCGAATGTAACTACTGAGTATTTCTACTCTAACTATTTCAAGTTATTGGTGGAAGAAGTACTAACTTACCCAAAAAACCAACAAACAAACAAAAACGTATTATCTGAGCTCCTACTATCAAAAACAACAAACATGGCTTCACACTCCTACTAAAGTGTATAGGTTAAAACTTAGATTATTAACAAACAGTGTATTTACAATAGTACAGAAGTCTTATTCAAACACCGGATGATTTCAGATCATCACCGTATTTATTAGGTAGGAGCAGGAGAGATAAGAGAGGGGCTAATATGCTTTTCTTTCAAAAATAACGGATGAGCCAATCAGAAGGCAACAGCTGGTCCAATCAGGAATCAGCAGCATAAGAAATAAATCATCCACAAATGTTTCAATAAAAAAGAATTACATTTTGCCAAAGTAAAAAAGCCCAACAATTTTACCAATGTCTTTTTATGTATTCATGTATTCTTCTTTCTATTTTAATGATATAAACTGATGTGAAAGGAGTGAATATTATGGGATTGAGAGCTTGTTTATGATGTTTTTTTCAGGGGGGTTTTATTTTGGAGAAACCAGCTCGAGTGCGCTAGAATTTGAAAATACACAGGCGGAAAAAATCTGCCACTTCCTTACAGAGCCCCTCCTCCAACACACACGAACGCGCACATGACCAATGAGGGCACGAGATAAGTTTGTGCACAGATGGAAGGCTGACAGGCAGGTAGGCCATTGGTCGTGCTTTTTACAGTACTACGGCTTCCACAGATGACATTTTCTTATGGATTTTTTGTCAAAGCACTTAAGATATTCATTGCTATCGGGATATCGGTTTCTCAAACTTACCTACCCCACCTTTAAGTGAAGACGTCATCAACTCTAGATCTGAACATTCTGTCAAATCTGAAACGCTCTGAAAATGTCCCAAAACTTAAACTGAGATTTTAGCCAAACCGTTCCATCTATCAAAAAAAAAACTTTAGTTCAATAGAGTGGAGATTCTGGAGAGCCATTAAAACTTTGAATCTTTTATCTCTGTTAAAGTGTGGCGGATCAGTTTGACCTCAGAGCAGGATGATTTATGTTCTGAAAGGCCTGAGTTTTTTTCCCTTCCTTTCAGCTCTTGTTTGCTCAACACAGAAACCCCTCCTGTTTGTGCAGTGACTCATCTGTCTGGAAACTTCTCTGACCTGCAGTCAGTACACAATGCTTTTTTACAGCAACACTTTAATGTCATTTTTCAACAGTTTGTGAACTCTTTACATTATTATCTTACTTATTTCTCCTTTATATAATTTCAATAATTTCACCTTAATTATTGCACCATATTTATTTCACATTAATATTATTTATTTTTGCTTTATTCATTTATTTCACCTTATTAAATATGATCTATTTCCCCTTATTTATTTTACCTTACGATTTATTCACCTTACCTTATCTATTTTATTTATTCACTTTACCTTGTTTATTTTACCTAGGTGCATTTTGAGCAGAACTGCCCTTCGTCTCCAGAACCGAGGTTCAGCAGCTTGAACAGGATCTGAGGTGAGATCCAATGCACTGATGGAAAGTAACTACGGTCTATCACTTTAGATTACCATTAGGATACGATTAGGATTATCACAACCGGCTTCCAGCCGCCTGCCAGGACTCCTTTGCTATCACTTTAGATCAGTGGTTCCCAAACCTTTTGTGCCCAAGGCACACCAAAGGACAAGTAAAAATCTCAAGGTACACCTATTGTGCAAAATAGCCCTTATAACACGTGTTATCACTCATATCATGTAAAATATCTGTAAATGTGCATAATTATTTACTAATGCCAAATAAAATGTGACAAAGACAACTATATTACTCATGAAATATTTATTAACGAAATATTTCAGAAATGAATTTGAAACTTTATCAAATTAGGGGAACCACTGCTTTAGATAACCATTAGGATACGATTAGGATTATCACAACCGGCTCCCAGTCGCCTGCCAGGACTCCTTTGCTCCTCATCTCCAGGGCTGACCTGAGACAGTGGATGAAAGGAGGCCCATTAGAAAGTGTTGTCTTCTTGCCTGCTCTACGCCAGAAGCCAACTTTGTCAGAGTCTGTTTGTGTCAACATCGACATTTCCTATCCGCCAGAAATGACCGACACAGGGTTGGTAGGCCTCTAGCATTTGGGGTTCAGTGCCTACCCCCGTATGTGGAGGTTTGATGGAGTAGGCAGGACATCAGAAACTTGATCCGGTGTCTTTCCATGTTCCAGACGTCCTTCCGGGTCAGTTTCGTTCCTAGCAGACCTCCCTTTGCACTGTGTTATGCCGCTGCTTTGGGTTAGCCCTGTTCCAGCTTGTCCTGGTTGAACAACACAGGCCTAGCCTGCCAAATGCTTACGGCCTGACCATGTTGGCAAGATGCAGAACAAGGAGAAATAGAAACTAAATTATTAAATGCAATATTTAATAATATAATGCTTATAAGAGCATCACTTTCATATAACTTTAGTTATTATAGTTATTGATATTTATTTCACCTTTATATTTCATGTTGTATATTTAACCTCATTCATTGCACCTTATTTATTAAACCTTGTTTTTTCTTCTTATTCATGTATTTATTTATAGATCCTTCATTAATGTATTCATTTGTTTATTCAGCAGAACTGCTCCTCATCCAGAGCACGGTCTGCAGAAGGTGACCAACATGGAGGATGCTGTAGGATCTGAGGTGAGAGTTAAGGCATCCTGCGCCTCAGGAGAGTTAGTTCCTCGTTAGCTGAAAAGAGTGACCAGAGCTCTCAGGAGACCACCAGTTCACTGCAGACTGCTGGGTCTGTAGATGCTGATCAGTGACAGCTTCACCCGAGTGTCCAAACATACGGCCTCAGGTCCGATGTTACGATAACAAATCGATTTAGGACCTTCTTCTAGGGTGCTAGCTTCAAAAACTATTTGGGGTCCAACTGTCTTTTTTATGAAATGGCAAAAAGTCCATTTGTATAAACTATTTCTCACCACATGTTACCGTGAACTCTTAAATATGTTTCTCTCACATGCCTCTATGGTAAACAAAGAATCTAAACACGGGAAAATGATTGATGATTGAAGTACATTCTGGCTGCATTTTAACAACTGAAAAACTAAATGAAAATATTTGTTAACTTACACAAAAACTTGTGCAGGGTTACTTGTCATAAATAAGTAATAATAAACAGGGTGCGTACGGGTGCTGGAAATCCTTGAAAATGATTGAAATTGTACGAGGTGTTTTCAAGGTTTGAAAAGTGCTTGAATTTTGGGAATGGTGCTTGAATTTGGGATAAAGTGCTTGAAATTGTAAATGCTTTACTTCGCTTTTTAGGTTAAAAGAAAATAAAGAAGTCGGAGTGCGCTTAATTGCTTCGCTTTTACATAAAACAGCTCCGCTCCGGCCTTCCCGCGCAATGCGCGTGACCGGCAAGTGTTTTTGTTACGTGTGTGACCTGGGCATTCTGATGAGTGATAGATGACAGTATGCCAGGAGGTTGCCGTTTCAACGAGCGTTGGCTAGCAGAAGACAAATACAAGCCATGGCTAAGACGAGGGTCAAGCCCAAGAGTAGCCTCCTGCAAAGTGTGCAACAATAACGATGCGAGAGTCTGCGCTGACGAGCCACACACCACACGAAAGGTACGCCGTAGTAGAGCATTTTAGATTAGGCTATCGTTGCATGTAAACTAAAACAAGCTCGCCAAAATGGCTTCACTGGTCTGGCAGTATTTTAAGTGTCCGAAAAAGACAATAAAATAGCGGTATGCAACGTGTGTGTGAAGCAGAAATCCTGCAGCTCCACCCGCTGTGACGGACCGGTGAGCGGAGCAGAACACACATTAAGAGTTAGACCTAACACACTTAGCTATTTGATCTACCTCTGGAACAAACTAATTATAAATATATTTATTCTTCACTGTCGGGTCACTCATTACTGGATCAGTGAGCTGCAGGAGATACTGACGGGCTGTCAGGAGAGAGAGAGGGGGAGAGAGGAAAAGAGAGTGCTTCCGCTCATTTCTCCCGTGTTATTATCCAAAGTTAATGTAAACTTGAATAATGTACTTCATTTGAATGTAATAATTATGTTGGTTGGTTGGTTTGTGGAAGCGCCAGTGAATGAGCCCCATTAACTGAGTTTTAAACATCACTTTAAATGGAAGAGCCCATTAGGCCCTGCCCACTCGATCGGATCGGCGATCGGTATCCGCCGATACTGATTCCGGCGATCGGCCCCAAAATTGGCGATCGGAGCATCCCTAATAATTGTATAGGATATGTTTTATAATGATTGATCATGAAAGTGTTCTCAAAGCTGGTAAAGGTGCAGCTAGTTTGAATGACTTTGTATACTACAGAGTAGCTTGTGGATTTACTCCAGGTGGAACTAAAGTCTGATTTAACACTTGATCAGTGGCGGCCGGTCCATAGGGGCGCTAGGGGCGCCGCCCCACCTCTTCCCATATTGAAAAAAAAATAAATAAATAATAATTAAAATTAAAATTAAAAAAATATATATGTTTTTATTTTTATTTTTAATGAACAAGGTAAATATTATATAATTGGTATCAGTAAAATGTATAATCTACAATAAAATCTCGTTTAAAATTGTGTTACGATGTCTAAAGTTACTGATAAGTCACATGTTTCCTGCCTGGCCTTGCCCATGCACCTTCTCTCGTCTGGGCGCTAAGAGAGGAGCCTTCAACCAGTGCAGCAGCAGCCACCAGCAGCTGACTGTTGCTATCTGTAACGTGTAAACTATGCCGCGAAAATATAATTTCAGCCAATCAGCGTCGTCAAAGATGACGGTCACCGGGCGCCAATGTCAGCGCCCAGTGCAGTCTGTGAGTAGTTTGGACAGTGACTCGTATCCGGTTGACGCAGTAGTTGATGAGGATGGCTTCGTGTGCAGGTGGAGTCTCCGGACCTCGGTCCGAGCCTAATTCTGTTCAAGAGCTAATCTCCAATCCTTTGGAAAGGAGAAGTTTGGCAGATAAATTGTTGCTTAAAGACCTTGCACCGGACCAACCCGATTTGAATATATCGCAGCAATCTCGTGAAAAAGACAACATTTATACACGAGGCTTCACAAGTAGCTGGTACACAAGAAAGGCTTGGCTAGCTGGATGCAAACAGGTAAATGCTGTCTTTTGTTTCCCATGCTTGGATATCACTTTATATGTAGAGAGGAGGTTTCCCATGGTTGTTAGAAGTTTATTAATAAGTGGGCATTTATCACAGAAGTGATTGTTCTGTCTCCACGTTTGTTGCATTGTCTGTGATGTATTTTCCAACGGTTATAGCTCCTGTTCTGTCCCAGCAACACTACACGGTTTGCAGCTCCACCACATTTTTGGTTTATCTTCGGTGTCGCTTAAAATCTGCTTCCCATCGGACTAAAACCTCCACGTAATCTGAAGACAGATACTTGAAGTTATTTAAACCTTTTGCAAACTTTATGTTCTTTCTTGCTCTAGCCTTGCCAGTTACATTGTACATAACACATATATTATCATTATGCTAACTGGTTGTTCGTGTTAGACGATGTAGCTTTTTCATTTCTGAGTTATTGCTATATGTAAATAAGCCTGTTTGTAAATAATCCTCAGAGAAACAAAGAAAAAACACAATTTATGACATTTTGTGCTGTGGTTATTTTTTTTAAATTGCATTTATTCACAGTTCAGTTTGAAATGCTGTAGTGACTTGTATTGAACCACTTAAATATTTATAATTAATGCTACTGAAAAGATGCTATTAATTTTATATCTCACATGCAGTTCACTGTAAAGCTACTTGGTGAAGGTGTTGGTTCATAAAACATGAACAGTTTTAAGAAAGATAAAAACAGACCAGTTCTGAGAACACAAATTCCTGGTAAAGTAGTAGATGTTCAGGTTGATAAATAATATTTTCCACACTGAAGATTATGGAGGTATTGATCAGTCTTCTCATATTTTTAAGCATCGATTTCTCCTTTCCCCCCCCCTCTAACATCACCAGAAGTCATCATTTAAGGGGTCATTTCTCGAATTTTTTTTACTGCCAACCTAAAAGTACCTCAAAAATAGTAATCAATAATGTATTGAAAAGTTATTTGGCTGATTGTTTTATATTGGCTCAGCCAGGTTATATGGGATGCCCAGTCTACGTACAGATGGGTCACTCATTTTGAAATATTAAACTTAATTTTCTTTTCTAATTTTTTTTATTTTTCATCCTCATGTAGAATGCTATTATGAAACACACATTTGGTTGTTTATAGCATAAAGAACATCTGATTTAATGTGAGGTAGGGAAATAATCATTTGAGTATAAGTATGTGTATATAAATATGTAATTTACAACAGCTGTAAGATGCTTGAAAAGCTTGAAAATGCACCTTGAAAATGCTTGAAAAGTGCTTGAATTTGACTTTGGAAAAGGTGTAAGAACCCTGAATAAAACTCCTTTAAGGTCAAATCTGTTCACACATGGATTTGATGAGGGAAGTCCATTACTGTAACAACAATACATCTGAATCTTTTTTCTCATTTTGCAGACTGATCCATGTGCAAAGAGAATGAAGAAGGAGAAGGATGCTTTTCCCACTGTGAGTAAACTGTGATACACTGCACATACAAACATTCTGCATTTTTATTTAATCAACAAGTAGATTTACTTTAACTTTCTAACTCTGGTTTTCCTGCAGGCCGGACATTCACATCGCTTCTATGTGAAATTCAGTCCTTCTGACCACAAGGAACACGCTATAAACTGTGATCAAGCCAGAACAGTGCTGCAGGCGATAAAAACATGTCACAAATATGATGAGCAGTTTTCAGATGAAAACCTTGTGATTCAGCTGGGTGAAAATGATAGGAAATATGCTATTGCAACACATTTCCCTTGTACTTGTATCAGGAAAGATGAGTTACTGATCTTATCGCATAAGAAAGAAAAGACTGAAGAGACCCAATGCCAAGATGAGGAACCAATACAGTCAGAGGACATGTATTCTGTCTTCTCTATTGAAACAGTGGGAGGAATAAACACCAGAACAAAGCCGTTTATCAGAAGCCATGCTTTCAGTAGGTTCAAGTACCTGTGTGTGTATGGGGAGAAGGGTAGGGATAGGACAGTGGAGGACGCTCTGAGAAGAGATGGACGCTTCATTGATGATCTTGGCAACTTCACTCTGTCTGACAACACAGACCCAAATAAAAGCACTGGATGTACCCAACCTGTTAAACACCTGCATGAAAAAGAATTCAAGTTATCTCTTGAAAAGGCACAACCTGAAAAGACACAACTGAAGAGTAACAAAAAAGCAGTCACAGAAGAAGTAAAGCAGAGAATAAACGTCACCCTGAAAACAATGGGAAACAATAAATTAAGTGTCCAAGATTTAGTGGATCGTGTCAAAGTAATGAACGAATCCAAGGGAAAGAGTGGTAAGAGTGGAAAGAGTGGTCAGAGTGGCAGCAGTGTCGACGTTGAAGAGATTTATGATTTACTGCGGGAGCAGTATGCAGGTCTGAAGGAACTGATGATGAGGAGATTCCCAGGTGATTCTTATAAGAAGACACTGAACATGAAAAAGAAAAACTTTGGAAAGATCCAACAGTCGTTCAGCGAGGTTCACAGAGTCAGAGAGCTGATAACACTGGGCGAGTCAGTTTGCAAAGTGATTGTTGAAGGTTATTGGACAGGAACGGGGTTTGTGTTGTTTGACAACTTCATCTTGACTAACGCACACCTGTTTAAAGATTGTGTTGAAGGAAAAGAAAACAAAAAGCTGAAGCATGATATAGAGGTGTATGCTCTCTTTAACTTTGAAAAAGAGCACAAAAATTACCACCGCTTTGAGCTGGCTCACCGTTACATCTGCTACTGTCATGACAACCTCGATTATGCCATATTTCAGCTTAAGCCTGTCAGCCACAAATACAACCCAGAAACAACTGAAGTCACAAAAGAGAATGTGCCACCAGGGCTCCTGGAGAGGTTTGGTCCAAAGCCTAAGAGTGGTGAAGCCTGTCTCATTGGTCACCCAGAAGGACGAGTGAAACAAATGGATCCAACATCTATCATTGAGATAGAAAACAGGGTGAAGGCTGTTGAGGATCAATTAGAGCCATACAAAGACACTGCTTTCATTGTCCACATAATCAATGAAATAAAAAATCAAGGCATTGAAAGCATATTGGTAGGTGGAAACAAAGAGAACGTAACAACCTACAACACCTTCATGTATCACGGCTCCTCTGGATCCCCAGTGTTTGATGCTCAGTGCAAAGTTTTTGGTTTGCACACCTCAGGATACGTTTACGATTTCCCAAAGGACACTAAGAGTGTGATAGAGTATGCCCAACCTCTGCTAACTATCTTTGCACACTTTGTGAGTAAACTGAGGGAGCCTGGGGGTGAGGAGCTGTTGAGGAGAGTTAAGGAAGTAGCAAAGGGAAACCCAGACCTAGAAAACATACTCAACCCCGACTCTGATGACTCAGATGACTCAATGGAGACTGACTAGAAAGATTAGATAATCAGGGGCTAAACACACGAGGCTGGACAGCTTATATTCCCATGCATCATTATACTTAAGATTCTGGTACGGGCATCCTGTTTTATATTGACTTCTCTGTTAGTCTGTAACAGCAAATTGTACTTATTTCTATATCCATATTTCTTGTAAGCATTACTTATTTATTTTATCATAGTTTTTTATTATTCTTTTTTTTACAATGTCATTACTTCACTGTGTTTATGTATGCGCCATTGTACACCAAATGAACCTTATTGGCAATAAACCAAATTCTCATGTTGATTGTACTGCATACTCACGGTTTGTGGAATATATGAATGTATTTTTTATGTATTTTATTGAGGCAGTGAACTGAATGCCATATTTTTCCTATTCTCTTTTAACACGTATTGGAAGCTCCTTAAAGGGGACCTATCATGCAAAATGCCCTTTTGTACGTCTTTTATACATGAATATGTGTCCCCGGTGTTCCAGGGAACTCACCAAGTGTCAGAAAACATAACCCTCTCTATTTTCCTCCATACCCAAATCTCTATAAAAGGGGCTGCAACGGATCTGATAAAAACTGATCCAGATTTGAACACTGTCCTGACGTCAGGACGGTGGCGCTACGGCTATTGGGCCAACTCTCCACCTATCAGGGGAATGTGGGGTTGGGCCACGGCCGGCCATTGCCGCTCGAAAGCGCTGGAGACGCTGTAGTACATATGCCAGGCCTGTAAGTGGCGCTGTAGTCTGCCACAAAAGCAGCGAAGAAGACTTCCCGCCCATAGTTACCATGGTTACCCTTCTGTTTATTCTCCGCTGTGGCTTTTTTTCTCCCTCCCCGAGGCAAGCGTTTGCTCCCGCTGCTTTAATTCAATGCAATCCCTCCCCGTCGAGGCAAGCACTGTAATTCTCTCCGGTTAGTCCACCAGCAGATGACAAACACCCACCTCTCCGCCTCTTCCAAGGAACGAGGGGACCGTGCGGCAGAGTTTCAGTTTCAGTTTCTTTCGCCGGTCAAGATGTCCGTTAAAGTTTAAATCTTCCGAACAAAATTAGAAAAGTGCAGGTCAAAGGTCTTCTTTGTTATTTATTGAGCTTTAAAACAAATGAATAACGACTCTATAGGCCTATAATAATATAATAAAACACGGAGGACGGAGATCTCTTTTTCTCCCCCTCTTCTGACAGCCCAGCAGCTGATCAGAGCACGGCTCCCCTCTCCTGCAGGGGGGCGTGGTCAGCAGAATCAGACCCGTAGACAGCAAACAGCACATAGAGCGAAATGAGGCATGGCTAAAATGCATGATCTGTTTGGTATTTTGAAAACAGAAACGTATAAATATACTTTATATAGGTATGGCCCTACAATATATCATTTAAATATAGCATGATAGGTCCACTTTAAGTGTGAGCTGATATTTGTTTTTATTTCAATGTCATATATTTCTCCCGTGGTAAATGTGTTTATTCTGTCCTGGCCTTCCCTACCAATATATTCTGTTTGTGTTTTATTAAAAGTTGATCTCCTCAAAATCAGTTTCTTGTTTCTGATTTTTTAAACTTAGGGTTATGTTATTCAACGTATGTAGCCCCGCCCCTTTTCCCACTTCCGGCGAGTAATGCGGCTTTCACACCAGCGCTTTTCCCTTTCTAGCTCCTAGCTAGAGCTTTTCTGGTTCAGCTCCGGTTTCCCTTTTCAGCTCCCGCTCTGTTCACACTGCCCAGAGCTGCTGCAGCTGCGTCATGATGTCACAGTTTAAGTCGCTGATTTTCTCCCACAACAACAACGGGCCGGGGACTGCGTCGGGTCGATGATCGTGTTGCTTTTAATCATACGAAGCCAGATTAAATTAAATAACGACTTCTCCAACCTTATACTTTTCTCCAGAGTGCCGTGGTTCATTGTTTATTAATGTGTTTCAGCCGCATTTACCGACCGCTGCAGTGCTGGCTGCTCTTCAACGGGAGTTTATTCTCCCGTTAGCTCCGGGTTAGCTCACACGGCTCTAAAGTATTCACTGTCTGACTGTTACACAAGCAGCTGATACATATCCCCAGTTCCCCTTAAGTGAATGTGTGTCAATCTGAATTGACGCTGTTTGGCATCACAACGCTGTTATGAAAGTTTCTCTGGTATAACATGGGTGATGTTAGCATAGCAACCGAAGCTAAACTGACTACTTGCTAAGCCGTTTTCTACAGGCACATTTTACCGGCGTATTTTTCATTATGATTCTACTTGTGATAGTCGGACATGACAACCTGTACAGCCCATGTATTGATTCCATCCGATAGCTGCTATAATAACAAACAAAACGTCTGCCTGCTCTCCACAATGATCAATAACAGCGAACGGATGGTCAAAGTAAGGTTTCCTGCACGCCTCGACGTAAGAGACGTAAGAGACGTAAGAGACGTAAGCGACGCCGCGTCATAGCTCCGAAGCTCTTGCCTCTGGACCGACAATTTTTTGGAGCTGGAAGTGAACCGCATTCCGGAGCTATGACGCGCCGCCGCTGCGGTGTGAACAGGAAAAAACGGCGCTTTTCCAGCTCCAGCTCCGAGCAGGAGCTGGAAAAGCGCCGGTGTGAAAGGGGCATAAAAGAACCAAAAGACCAAAAATAGAGCCGAAAAACAGTTTATTTGGCAAGTGGAGGTTGTTAAAGCTGGTGACGCTATGCAAAGTAAATAATTATACTTTAACCTGAAGTACTAACACATAATACGGCAATGTTGAAGTCCTAGAGCAGGAGACGGTGAATTGTTGCCACCATTTCCACCCTTCAGTCTTAACAGGCGATAACATTTTATTTCCATATGTGCTGCAATAACAACCCTGGACTTCTCTTTGCTGCAGGTCAAATGATGATTTAGGGTACCATTACTTTGCGTTTTCTCACCTGAAAAAGGTTATGATGTTACGGCTCGAATGTGGTTGATAAATAAGTACCGGTCAAAGCAAAAAAACACACTATAAACAGTGTTTTAGAGTGTGTGATAATATACATAATACAGGGATAAAACAGGCCAGAGTAATGTCCCAACACCACAGTGTAGCAAGGACTCTGTTAGCCGAACAAGCATCCTTCAAGCCATATTTGAATAAATGTGTCTTTCAAACAGGCTTGATATGGGGAGGTGTACATTTACCATACCTTTCAGAGCTGAAGAAAACTACAGCAACATTTGCTTCATAAAGAACACATTTATCATAGGATAAGAAGGAAGTGAGGTCAAAAGCACTCAAATCCTTTACTCAAGAAAAAGGCACTCATCTAAATAAGTAACAAAACATTACAGGTAAAAGTCCTGGATGTAAAATGTTATCTTGGTCAAAGTACAGAAGTATTATCAGCTGGTGTTAATTTAGGACCTAACGAACTGTAAGCCTACAGCTCCCACTAGTGGCCATTCACCCTCCCCTTCACTTTTAATGAGAAACAACAACAATATCTTTTCTGGAATTATCACAGCCTTTTTATTTCTCATTGTCATTAAAACAAACACCTGCAAAGTAATATTTGAGCCAAACAAACCCTTGGCTCTTCCAGATTTACCAATATCTGTAATGGGACGTGACAAAAACTGATCATTCCTAAAGCAACACCGCAGAATCAAGCATGATCGCCCGATTGACGGTTTCAGAAATGTACACCACTTGTCGGACATACCCTCCCAAATCGATGTTGAAATGCATTGGTTCTGTCCAATCAGCTGCAGCGTCCAATGAGTGACCAATACACAATAAGGGGGTGTATCGGCAATTCAAGAAACATCACTAAAGGACGCTCAGGCGCTTCCTTGCTCATCTTTCCTCGATCCTCACGCTTTGGGATGGTCTTCAAGATGGCGCACCAAAACAACTTCCAGTTAAGTTTAGGAGCGAGGAAATGTCCAATTTGGGATGAACCCTAATGCTGTGTCTCAATGTGGATACTTCCCTTCGTACACTGCCATGTTGTGCACTGTGAACATGTGGGCAGTGTGTGAATTTCAACCATTAAGTGTTGTTGCAAATTGCACATGTGATGTTAGCCACCAAGCAACGTTATTGTTTACGGTACCAAGTCATTACAGACTACTCAACTAACCCCATGAACTATTTGGTGGCTTCTTTTTGACACCAGTACTGTGGTACATGTATTAAATAGGGAAATAAAACCACATTCTTTGGTCTTATCTTTTTAGAGCGGATCTTACCAAAGCACTTCCGTTACGTAGCCAAAAATAGGGGTAACTTTCTGACCGATGTGACCAAATTCATATTCATATTCATATTCATAGAGCTTTTGCCGTACTATTTGTGGGGGAAACTTCTATGTAGCAATGCATGGAGTCACCGACTCAGGAAGGAGACACGTGAGAGTTGGAGCTTTGATGTCAAACACTGATGGGTTTATTCAGAGTATTCGGCCGGAGGATTCACATCACAAGTCAAAGAGTCAGAGGTTCTGACTTCACGGTAGAGTTGCCACGTCAATTCTGAAGAGCCTCTCTCTATGCTAGACCTTTTAACTGGTTCACAGAGAGAAATCAACATCTCTGAAGGAGTAGACTAAACAGCTGGGAACACTGAGCCACCTGCGTCCGACACTCATGGCCTCAAGGATTTCACATCTTAGAGTCCACAAACACCGATAAAGAAGTGCCTCAGCGTTCTCACAACAATTACCATTCGTGCCAGACAAGTTGACCGGTCACAAACTGATGACAACAACACATATGGCACCAAGGCCTTTCCTTAAAGGAGATAACAGACGTCAGAGTAGATCATAAAACGTCACAGAGCAAAAGGTTAGATATCTAGAAGAATTATTATTATTATAAGAACAGTTCCTCTCTTTTTATCATTTTTGATAACCTTAAAACATTAGTCTAATAATAATTCTGGTCAATATTTAAATCAATAGGCGTCTTCAGATTCGAGTGTGGTCTCACCTTACATTCAATTACATCACAAAGTAGAGTAAGATTGAAACATTCAATCACAATGATTGATACAGG